CTTCGTGGAGTGCTTCATCCTGTCCGGGTACCGGCGGCTGCCGTGCACGGCGCAGGAGTGCCTGGCCTCGGTGCTGAAGCCCACCAACGAGACGCTCAACTTCTGGACGCACTTCATCCCGCTGCTGCTGTTCCTGAGCAGGTTCGGCCGCCTCTTCTTCCTGGGCGGCCAGGACGTGCCCTTCCACCACCCGTGGCTGCTGCCGCTGTGGTGCTACGCGTCGGGCGTGCTGCTGACCTTCGCCATGAGCTGCACGGCGCACGTGTTCAGCTGCCTGTCGCTGCGCCTGCGCGCCGCCTTCTTCTACCTGGACTACGCGTCCATCAGCTACTACGGCTTTGGCAGCACGGTGGCCTACTACTACTACCTGCTGCCGGGCCTGAGCCTGCTGGACGCCAGAGTCATGACCCCGTACGTGCAGCAGAGCCTGGGCTGGCACGTGGACTGCTCGCGCCTCATCGCCGCCTACCGCGCGCTCGTGCTGCCCGTGGCCTTCCTGTTGGCCGTGGCCTGCACCGTGGCCTGCTGCAAGAGCCGCACCGACTGGTGCGCCTACCCGTTCGCGCTGCGCACCTTCGTCTTCGTCATGCCGCTCAGCATGGCCTGCCCCATCATGCTGGAGAGCTGGCTCTTCGACCTGCGCGGGGAGAACCCCACGCTCTTCGTGCATTTCTACCGCCGCTACTTCTGGCTCGTAGTGGCCGCCTTCTTCAACGTGAGCAAGATTCCCGAGCGCATTCAGCCAGGCCTCTTCGACATCATCGGCCACAGCCATCAACTCTTCCACATCTTCACCTTCCTCAGCATCTACGACCAAGTGTACTACGTGGAAGAGGGCCTGCGTCAGTTCCTCAAGGCGCCGCCTGCGGCGCCCACCTTCTTAGGCACCGTGGGCTACATGCTACTGCTGGTGATCTGCCTGGGCCTGGTCATCAGGAAGTTTCTAAACGTCTCCGAATTCTGCTGTAAGAAGTGAGCCCTCGCTTCCCGGAGGCTGCTGGTTGGCCCATCTGTTTGTTTGCAATGACTGCTGTTGCTCTCGTTGGTTTGTTTTCAAGTTTTGTCGTGTTTCCTTCGTTGTTCCTGGAGGGTGCTGCAAAACCACAGGGGGAAAGCCCAACTTGCGACCAGGGGATGCCAGGACCCTTGGGGCTTTGGAAGAGGGAGACGGGGTCGCGCCCGAGGGAGAGGGCCACTGGTTCTTGCCCCTAGAAAGATCGCAGGTGGTGGTTTAGAGGGGCTGTGACATCCAGGGATTTTCAAAGGCAGCGAATAAAATCGCAAATAACTCCCAAGCGGTTTGCTTTTCCAATCATCTGCTGTGCCCGCGTAATAACAAGTAGCCCTTGTCAGTCAGGTAGGCAGTAAAGATGGCAAATAGAGCGAATCCCCGCAGGACTTCCATTTCGGGTCGTGGAATGCCTGGATTGATCAAGAGAACTGAGCTTTGTAGGAGAAGGGCACAGAGACACTAATCGGGGGCTTTATCGGCTAGACAATGCATGGAATGTGAACAAAAGTTAATTATTTCACAATATTTCTCAGATATTATTTAAATAGTAATATATACGCAATGATTTTTCATAATTTATAAAAAGCCTGTGATATGCACTGAAATTTCTTTGTCGCCTAGTTTTGAATTTCGCAGTCCTTTTGCATTACATACACTTGAACTGGACATCAGGGCAAAGCAGTTTGCGAATTCTCAACTAGCTTTTTAAACAGTGTTTTCCGAAGGCCTGTGTGTGTCTCGAGACAACTGTGAATTACTGTACCTGAAGGATTCTGGTTAAACTTGGTGAGGAGCTTGAGTGGTTTGCATAGACCACAGATCCTTATTTCTTTTCATGTATTCCACAAAACCCACCCTGGTTTTTGTTTGGTTTTTGATCTTATTCTTCTCTTCTTTTTAAAATTGCCACTGGAATAAATGTGCCTTTTGAAGCAATGCCCAGGTGACTGGTCCTCAAACACAATTTCTGGCATGGGGGAAGCAGCAGGACTGAGTTTTTCTTCTTTACTACAAATCCAAGTTTAACATCCCACCCAGGAGGAAAGGAAGATGATATTGGCTGTAAGTTTTGGGTAGAGCTAGAAGTAGCGTACTGGGACATGCAGGGTTTTTCATATCTGTACAAGATGGAGCCACCCTGCCAGTGTGGCTGTGGCTTCTAATGCAACCACGGGGCAAGGGGAGAAGACACTATTCTAAACTGATGCTGTCCACCCTTGCCTAAAATTGAAAATAAAATGTTCTGGATTAAACAAAGCTGTTCCACAAGCCAAGAGCATATTCTTTGAGTCCTAACTGAAAATGTACAGTTAAATATGATTATGTGTGCTCAGTTATACCCGGAAGTGTTATTTGGATCCAGACTAGGGGTAGGAACTGGTCGTCAACCTAAGTCATCGAGAGATTCATTTACATGCCCCTGAGGCCTCTTCCAGTGACCAGATTGACTGGTCAGTGTTAATTAGACATGTCAACATGTAACTGAGATGGCAACTCTAGATTAACACAACCCACCCAGGTGGTGCACTTGACCACACTTCCGGATAAATCCTTATGGTGAGAACCAAGGGTGGGCTGTTGACTTAGGTCAAGCATATAAGGGGGATGCAAAAGTTTGCTGTTTCGTTTTAATTTGTAGTACTTATTTGTCAACAGAAAGGCCAGCACAATTCCCTGGGAGAACTAGTATCTCTGTATGTTAACTTGCCCACAGAAGTTAAATTGATAGTTGTCTACATTTAATGTGGAGTCCCTGGGTGGTATTAAAGGGCTAAAGGGTTGAATCCACCTTGAAAGAAATGCCTAGTGAGGTACATCTGGGAAACCAGCCATTGAAAACCCTTTGAAGCACAGTTCTGTTTTCACACAGATAGGGTTGTCATGACTCTCCAGCAACAGGGTGGCAACTCGGTGGAGGTTGTTCTTTAATTTAGAATCTTAGTGGAAGAGTAAGCCCACGCTGCATAGCTGCTGCTGGGTGTCTGCGTCTCATCCTTGGTGAAGTTCGAGAAAATCCCTATTTGGTTACAGAGGCTGATGCTGTGTGTCTACAAACAGACAGGTCTCGGGTGTAACAACATTGCATTTAAGAAGTTAGAGAACTCAAGATATTTCCACATGAAAATTTATTCACGTGTTATTAATGCCTCTTCTAGAGCCTCAAATAATGTTGATTCAGAAGCTAGTGACAGGCTGAGCTGCATTTTGTGAACTTCCTTGGAAAATGAGACACCTCTCTTTCCAAGAGGACTTTCTGAAGACAAACTTCAAAAAAATTCATAAACTGAGAACAACAACAAAAACCCTGCATGTGTCATTTTAAATTTTTGTTGGAGAACTTTTGGGTCTACAAACAATTCTTTCCTCACTCTCTGTCTTTGTCCTTAAGCAGAGGGCACAAGGATGAAATTTATACGCGTATCATTTTCAAGTGCTTATGATGCATGAGCCCAGTTAGATGACACACCTTTCCTGGTGAAGGTTTCAGCGCCGGTCTTTCCCAGCGAGCCTGAGGCTCACTTTCATTTCCCCCTTTCCTTCCTCCACACTTCCTTTCTCAGTCAGCGTTAGACTTTATATGCTGTATGTAGCATTGTCAATAGAACACTGTAGTTGAAAACAAGCACTGGCTTCACATCACCTGGGCTGTTAGGACCATATCCACTCTATCAGTGGTTCTCAACCTTCGGGGTCGAACGACCCTTTCACAGGGTCACCTGATTCATAACAGTAGCAAAATGACAGTGATGAAGTAGCAATGAAAATAACTTTATGGTTGGGGAGGGGGGGTCACCACAACAAGAAGAACTGTATTAAAGGGTCACGGCATTATGAAGGTTGAGAACCACTGCACTATATAAAACCAGAATGGTTTGTTATTTGCTAAAATATAACATCTGTCAAAATTAATATTTTAGAATTGTCAATTACCAAGACTTCGCATCTGCGTGGAATGATCAGGTCTATTACCTCTTTCTGGAGAAATACTGCAACCAGCGTGAAATAACTTTAAAATACTTTTTCACCATTCCGATTAGGTCATTACCACATCATGATGTCGAGCTGTGTGAAATGTAGGGCAGATTATACATAGGTATTCTCTCCATTATAACTGCATAACCGACTTCAGCATTTGGAAGGATATGCAAGGCCTTGTCTGGTTGGTTGTTAGTCTGGATCTCAACGGCATTTCTCGGAGCAACAGCCCATAGGCATGCTGGAAATGAATGTGCTGGGCTTCAGTGCCAGCTCCTCTGGGGGTGGGGTTGACTCCACTGATTAAGGGGGTTCCTTCTGGAAACAGTCCTCACGTGAGGACAATTACCTTCCCAGAGAGAGGAAATGAGTTCTTGGGTCATGTCATAATGTAAAAATAGTGTGATCTTTCCACTGGTCATGCACTTGCTATAATTAGCCTGGAAGAAGATATGTGGCGTTAGAGCTGGCCCAAGTGTGGCCTTCACATGTTTCCATTCATAAATTGTGCCTGTAAGTGCTTGCAGTCAAAATCCATTTAGCCTGCTTCATCATGCTACTTCACAGAAAGCATCTTTCTAAGAATGTACAACTGGTGTGTGGAGGTGATTTTTAGAATTTTTTTTCTGATTTGGTGCTGGATCTGAGGGCTACCAGTAATAAACTGATTCTTATCTCCATGCCTCTTAAGCACCAGTTAATCTGCACAATGCTATCGTAGGATTCAGGTATAGTTGGAGATAACGACTTCAAGGTTGACCACTGTTCCAAAGTGACAGAATTAGGCTTTCAAACTGCCTTCAGAATGTGGGAGTGGCTGCATGCTCAATTGTTTGTACAGCTTCAATGCCCGGACAACCTTATAGACATTAATTGGATGTTTTATTTTGTCCTTTCATTATTTAGTTTGTAGTTTTGAAATAGAGCTAAGGAAGGAATTGTGAAAACTCAAAATGTGATCCAATACTGAACACTGTTTTTATCACCCTAGATGTTCTACATCTGGCAAAACTGCCACTGCTGTCTTCCCTTTGTCGGGCTCCTTTGAGCTGATTTTCATCCACTGAGCTCCCCACTTTAATGACCACTCTGCACCTAATTTTGTGAGGAGCTTTCAAAAAGTTCGTGGAAAAACAACTGCAAGATTATGAAATTCTCCCATGGACTTTTTGAAGCCTCTTCGCAAAAAACATTAGGCAAGGATCCAGCCATGTGCTGGTGGGACAGAGCCTGGAGCACCCAGAAGGCTACCTGATCAGTGGCCAAACGCTGACCTTGGTTGTAAGGAGAATAGCCTAAGCCACTGAGTTTGATTGTTTTCCTCCTTCCTACTAGCTTAAGAGCAATGCAGAACATCTTACTTCAGTCAATGTTCTAAACCTGCCTTTGAGCAAGAAGACTATCCATTTCTTCTTCTCTTTCTGTCTGTCTGTCTCTCTTTTTTTTGGTCTGCTCTTAGGCCTATGCAGATGTTATGGTTAAAATACCTGCAAATTTAATACACAATCCAGGTGAAAGGATAGTAGGCACACACACATAGGGTTTCTAAATTCATTTTCGCTCTTAATTAATAAAGACACAAATACAGCAAGTTTGGGGAGCTTAATGGTATTCTTACCATTAGGAAGTGTGGTTAATTCAAAGTGCCTAATTGTAATTTCACAAAGTGTCTGAATTTCATAGTGTAATCTTTTTAAGTCAAGGAAAAGTACTTAAGCCTTTAAAGATTAGTGTTGTTGAGTTTTTACCCTATTTAAAAATCCTTGTGTTGTGACCCAAGAAATCAGGAGAACCAGGAGAAGTAGATTCAAACAGCCAGGATGGGGCAGCAGGTTCACCCACGGACGGTTGTGACTGAGTTTTCAATGTGGTCCCTAGAAAGGCGTGTGAACCTAGAGTGTTAGCCTTGTGGCAGGCAGCCTAACCGCATCCTGGGGCTTTTGACCTGAGCTCTAACAGTAGGGATATTTTAAGTAGTGCTCTTCTTCCCTCGCTTAATGTTCTCCACTTGTCCCCATAAAATTAGGGCATACGTCAAAAATGCAGTTGAAGATAGTACCAGCCAGCAGTAAATCACCTTTTGAATCATTTTCCTGAAAGATTGCCAGTGTTCTCTGAAATCTATTGCCTGACAAAAAGCAAGCAGGCTTAGACAGACTGAGAAGGGAAACTTCCGCTGAGCACTGCTGTGTTCTGTGTGAGCGACCCCCTTGCCTTCCTATTAAAGATTGCATTCCTTCTTCCATATTATGAGCACTTCTGTTTTCTCATCATGAAGATGATGTCACTTCCAAGTCACGAGTACCAAAATAGTCGTTTTGTTACAAAAAGGTAAATATGTTGCATTTCTCATTTGCAAATTTCTAACAATGTGTAGGCTTTTGTTTTAAAATAACTGTCGTGAGCAGGTTGCAGAAGTAGAGTATTTACGGGTCAGTAACCCAGAATATTCCTTTGGCTGTTATCTGTGGCAGGATGTGCCTTCTGAAAGCGCTGGACACACATCTACAGGCAGCAGTGTGCTCAGCTTACTGACTAACTCATTGGAAAGCAGCCTTTACTTTGAGCTTTTGAAAATGCACCCCCTCCCCTACACACACACCTTTCCCCCATGAATTATGCTTCTAAAGGTGGTACATCAGTTTTCATGCTTTTTGCTCTTGAACAATCTCTGAACACAATTGCAAACATGGCATTTCTCAAGGAAACCTAGATTTCTCGAATGTGCAAAATGATTCCTGAATGTGTAAAAGTAGCAAGCCACCCTCTCTCTAGCCCTAAACTCCACCCAAAACACGCACTAAGCATGACGAGGAGGTCTGCAGTGGGTTATGAAACCACTTCTCGGCTCTTGCAGCTCACCACCACACGGTGAAAGGCCACTGTGTGAATGCACCTGCATGTCAAGGTGAAGAAAGTAGAGACACTCTCTCCTTTGGCTCCATCTCTAGTTAAAAAGCAATCTCTTTGTGATACGCTGGGTGCAAAATATACAATAAAATTCGTGGTACATTTTTTGAAAGATGTATTCTAATTTTATATTTTAAAATTTATAATAGCAATATGCCTGTAACAAAGCCAGTCCTTAGTACATTTAGTTCCAGCACTTTGGAAAGCCTCATCTTTGTCCTGGGAGTTCAATCGCCATGAGCTCTTACCCAAATGACGAAGACCTATGACGTCTGTGATCATGTATAGCTATAGAAGGGTTACATTTTCTTATTTGAAGAAGAAAACAGGCCAGATGTGTTCTATATGTGTAACAAGGCGAAACTTAAAAGTCTTTTATATTC